AAAATGAAGAGCTCAAGAATCACAAAATCTTACCTCCAAAATTCGATACCATTCACCATTCACTATGTTGTAGATCGATCAGCACCTCCTTTTTAAAAAAATCTCAAAAAAATCACTTGTTGAAAAGTTCTCAAAAAGAACCAAACCTCGAAAAACCTTTTGTCGAGAAATTTCAAAAAGAATCAAACCCAGAAAAAACTTTAAAAATAATCAAACCCAAAAAAACCATTGTTGATGAATTCTAGAATCTTGTTGTTGTAGTTGCTTGTGTGTATTGGAATTCCCTTGTTAGATCAATTACTCATTTGAGGTTAGTTACTGATTGCTAATCATGCTAATGAATTTGCTTTATTGATTGTCTAATAAAAAAAATTTCTTAACCCAAAAAACTTTTCAGAACAATCAATTTGTTGTGTTTTTTTTCCCTCTTCAAAGATTCAAAAACTTTGCCCAATTTTCTAGTTTTTCAACAACCTTCACTATTATCTAGCCTTTCTTACTTGATTGTTCGAGGCAATTGTTGTGTTTAATTTTGCTTACTGTCTCCCTATTGATTATCAATTGTTACTGTGATAAATTTTTATGTTTTTTTTGTTAGAATTAATGGTATTAACGAAAAATAGACTTAACAATGCATATAAGTAACAATCATAACTTAGTCCTTATTTGAACAAATTCAAAAATATTATATCTTACATTAAACTAAATTAAAGTTGAGATCTTTAATTGAGCAACCACCTAAATCTTTAATCCCAAATTGAGCATTTAGTAAGCATTTAGCTTTGCTTTTATGAAGATTCGGACAAAATTTGAAGATTTTGATGAGTATTCTCAGTATCCAGCGTGATTATCAATTATTGGCATTGCTTCTTAAATTTTGATCAATTTTTTGGCTGTTTGAATTTTTCAATTGCAAAAAAAATGCTTGGCATAGAAAAAGGAAAGAATCCAAAGAAAAGAGAGAAGAAAAGAAAATTTGAGAAAGTTTTTTTTTTTACTTTTTATATTGTACTAATATGGTGTTGTTTTGAAGGGTTAAAGACATTGAAGATTCACGCGCAGCTATGTGCTGACCTGACCCGATTCTTAGGCGTTGATATGTTGTTGAGCCATTCTCAAGCTACATAGCAAGTCATTGAATCGTTTTTGTGTCTTTAGTTGAGCCGTTTTTCAATTGAGTTGAGCTGAAAATTTTGTTAATTTTTTTAAAATTTGTTATTTATTTATTTATTGACAATCCAAAACCTTTTAATATATTGGTAAATTTTTTATTTTTTAAATTTTTTTAAAACTTTGTCAATAAATAAATAAATAACAAATTTATAAATCTTATCAATATATTAAAAGATATTTTTAGATAAAAATTTTATTAACACATTAAAAGATTTTTGAGAACTTTTTTTTTTAAATTTAAATGAGTGGTGATTTGTCATATGTTTTTTCATAAAAATTATTTTTGAATTTTTTGATGATGGATTACTAAAACATTATAAATAGTAATTTTTATATAAATTTCTAAAAGAAAATTTTTAAGAGAAAATTTCTTTTTAAAATTTATCAATGTATTAAAAATTTTAGATAAGTGTTCAAATATTAAAGATTCTCACAAAAAAATTTACCTTTTATAAATAAGATTTTTTTTTTAAATATTAACAACATCAAATATTAGAATAATTTTAAAAAAATTTTTAATATTAATTATTCAATAAAATTTTTAATACATTTTAAAGATTTTGAATAACACGAAATCAACTTATATCATTTAAGGTGTTATAATATTTTTTACACGTAATAATACTTTCAGATATTATTTAATTTCGTAAATTAAAATTTATTTTTTAAAAAGATTTGAGTTAAATTCGAAATATTTTTTAAAAAGAGATATATTTATTTAAATGACTAATTATACTTAAAAAAACTACTCTTAAAATCGTGTTTAACAAGTAAATTTTCGGATTTATACATTCGGATATGGATTTATTTGGTTCCGAATGGTGAGTAGATGAACGGCTCCTTTCATGCCAAGTGATGTAATTAATTAATTATTATAGAGGTTTTAAAGGATATTGTGAATGGTATTTTTTTTATAAAATCTTTTCACTTTTTTGGTGGGCTATCTAATTGGGCCACATACCTTTGTGATTGTGAACGAGTTTGAGTTGGGTCTAGCTAACGAACCCATCTTTCAACTTTGGCCGAATCCTTTTTACAAGGCTGAATTGAAATATTAACGACTCACAAAATGAGGGGCAAGGGGTTTTGGCTTTTGGGTACTCATTATCGGCAATGGAGGGATTGCGGAATTGGGTCCGTTCCTTCTCGAAGGATACAAAATCAGTGTCTCCTCCTCTCTTGCACGAAATTTCCTACAACCTTGGCAGCGGAGGAAGAGGACCAGCTGGAGCGTCTTCCACTTTATCTTCTGTTGATAGCTCTCGTGTTTTGGTCACCAGGCCTCCCAGGTTACCTACTCTTCATTTCTATCAACTTGACCCTTCGATTTCTAATGGAATTGCTGCAGTTGTTTTCCCTTACAACTTACAATTCTTATTTTTGGGTTTCGCATTGCAGGCAAGTAGTCTCGCTATGGACTTGTTCAAAACTCTGTGCAATTTGCTTTGTTGCTGGAATTGTCGTCGGTTACACTTTCAAGCGACGAGTCCGGAGCTGGGCTTTCAGGCTTCTCAAACGATTGAAAGACGATTAGTAACATTAACCACTCAAATCCTCTTAATTCTCATCTTGACAAATGAAAATGGAAGTTTGTCTTGCAATGAGTAATTTTCATGTCTTGCATCCCTTTTTTCACTTAAAAAGAAAAAAGCAACAATATCTTAACTTTATTGATCCTTAATGATCATTGCTTTTAGAACAAAATTTGTAGGGTGGGCAAAGTTTATAATTTCAATGCTATATATATGTTACATTTACATCTGAGCTATAGTTATGACTACATGTGTATATATTTCTCTTCTATATTTTTTCGAATATGTAGTTACACAAAAGAAAGAACAAGTGGTTGGCAATGACATCTACATATCTATGTAAAGGATCCTCAGAAATATTCCTTGTGGAATTCGAACCGTGTCGATGTCTTGTGACTCAGCTCTCGTGATAGCTTCTTCAACTCCTTTGCCAACACTGGCATTCCACAATAGAACACCCCTGCAATTTTAACAATCACAATTCTTGTTAAAGGTTTCCTTTAACATAATTTTTCCCTGTTTTACGAGTATCTCTTGAGAAGTTACTACTATGATGCTAAGCCAATTATGGCTGGTTTTAATATATATATATATATATATATATATATTTTTTTTTTTTTTTTTTCCAGATTGAGTTGTGTACATTTCTGATTGGTCGGCTAATGTTTGATTTTGAAAACCTTTCTTTTAAAAAAAAAAAATTATCAGTTCTTTGCTAAGAACTTTTCAAGGTCTGTCTTCTTTTTCTTCTTTTAATTTTCTTCTATTAATCCCATTTAAACATGACAGCAGTGGGTTAAGCTGAAAGGTCATAAACATTTTTTTTTCTCTTCGTTAGTTGGTTGCGTACCGCTTTTTGAAGCTGTGTTAGTTCCCGTAGTAGGTTCATTTTTTTATGGGCAGTCTCGTTGGCAGAATCCAAAACTCATATCCCACTTCCCAATTCCCATACCCTTTTAACGAGTTCTCCGCTCATACAACAAAGTCTCTTTGGTTTAATAATTTCTTTTTTTTTTTTTTTGGGGGGGGGGGTGCAGAAATATATTTACCTACTGTTGCATGAGGATGTTTGGAAGCTATTTTTCTGAACACTTCTTTCCAGTTGGGCCTGGCGAAATGTGTCCTTACCTGCAGCAAATTATTAAAACATCAAAGTGTTATTCGCTGCTCAAGCAAATAATTGTATAGTTGGAATTTTTAAATGGTCGTTTGGTAGGTGGAAAGGATGTAAATAAAATCACAAATGTTGACAACAAAAAAGTCTGTCCTTAAATTGGGCAATGATATGCACATTTTTTTGTGAAACTTTCGTATGATTAAGAACTGATAAATAAAGAATACTCGATCATACTCGGGTTCCTGATAGGATGTCAACACCATGTTTAGCATGATTTAAAGCTTGGACCATTGTAATCAAGGTTGATCTTGCATCTCCTTCTTCATAAACACTTGTAAGGTAGTTGTGCAGCTCAATCTGACCCTGTTTTAGAGTTGAAATAACAAGAATAAGAAATTACTTTTGGAAGCTTTATTCATGTAATGAAAAAAAAAAAAAAAACAAATGGCATGGTAACAATCATGCAGATTGCTCTAAAGTTGTATTTGTTACTTTCTGATCCATTTCTGCAACTTCATCCATTACTCCTTTAAACCATTCAAAGGACCCTGATTCCCTGGTGACCCAGTAGAAATGAGCATTTCTAGTCCTCTGTGACTTCTTCTTTCCACCAATAGTCACACTTGAATTAGCAGTAGAATTGGAAGATGCAAGGCTATTCCAGCTGTCGTCTGATCTAGTCATTTCTGTGGTTGAATCCTATACCATCAAAGTCGCAGATATTAATTAGTGGAAAAACTACTAATAAATTATGCAGGGAACAGTCCTATAGAAAGTGGCTTGAACGTACCATTTGATCTTCTGCTCTTGAATTGTTTAAAAGATCTTTGAGGATGCTTATGAAAGGGGTAGCTCCAATTCCTAGCCCCACAAGGAGAAGAACATCATAATTTCTGTAGTCCTGTGCCGGAGCTCCATATGGACCATCAACTAGCAATTTAGGTTGGCTGCACGTGTGAAACAAATGGTGTTTAACACTTATCAGTTCTCACAAATCGATTAGAATATAACTATCATCTCCTACTAATACAATTACCCCTTCTGATCAATATGTCCAGGCTGACCAAATCTAGCTCGGCCTATGACAAATGGCGAGTCATTAACATCTGTGAAAACTCGTTTCAATTCCTGCGTCCAGTCTCCTACTGTCCGGATGTGAACACTAAGATACTCATCTCCTGGTGCTGAAGTGATAGAAAATGGGTGCCTAAATTGAATTACGTGTTAGTTCAATGGGCAAAAAAGTACAAATGAAGTTCCAAAATAATTTATTGTTAAGGTTTCAAACAATGTAAAGGTCATTTAAGATTGGAGGAAGCAGGGTATCTGTCAAAATCACACTCACCATTCAAATGGGGAGATTGATGGGCACTGTAGAAATATGTACTGCCCACTTTTATACTTGAATCCTTGCGGTTTTGACATAACCATGCTGAAGACATTTCCTGGTAGTACTGAAACCTTTGCATGACATAAAAAACCTTGTAACTGTTGCAAAATAAGGAACCTAAAAAAGAACCCTGCAGTATCTAATCTTCTTTTGCTGTTCTGTTTCAGGGAAAACTGCTTCTTTTTGTTTCCTTAAAACATGGATATCATATTGTTGTGATATTCCTTTCATTCATATGGTTAACTCAGATAGTTATGACAAAATTTAGCTAAATACTAGAATAGTAAAGAAAAGAACTTGATCCAATTAGTTACCTTAAATATTTTTACTGAATAGTGTTCTGATCTACATGTTCTTACACTACGCTCCCCAATATAAAGCAGCAATGGAACAGAAATGTACATCCCTGTCTGCAACACCAACATAGTTAGTACTTGGTATGTAGTTCTTTCATTCTTCATAACTAGAATTATGATCTTAAGTTCTTACCGATCTCTGATACCACTTGTGGGCCAAGAACAAGAATGTTCCATGGATTACTAGCAAAATGTAGACAAGACCAAGAAGATGATGAGAATACCAGAATGCATTGAAGCCTGTCAATCTGTTGAAGGGTGCAGGGAGTCTCACTACATTTTTGCGGAAGTGACTTGTTGCTAATATAAATGCAATGGCCATGAAAATCACCATAGAAATGCCTGTCACGCCTAGAACACTAATCAAAAGCTCTGAATATGTCGGTCTTTTGCCATGCCTGAAATCAGAGGCTATGAGAGCAAATGTTTCTGGAGAAGCATGCGTGAGGCGGATAAAATCACAGGACAAGTGGCTTCCTGCATGAACCAAGACTCCAATGGCTATAGCACCTGCAATTGTCTGTGAAATTGAGGGAACAAAAAAATTTGTTAAAATCAATTAGTGAATGAGTTCACAAAGTCCATTAAGTAGAGCTTTCTTACCTTGTGGAAATTAATGTTGTCATCAAAAGGAACAAAAGATCTTGCTTTAGAAGACCTAAGCCAAGTCAATGTGTTTCGACAAACTGGTAAAAGAATTAGAGCCATGTTGAGCTTGAGAGTCTCGGCAGCCCCTTTGGCAGTACACAAGCAATATCCCATAACTTGAAAAGCTGCCATGTTTTTATATTGCATGAATTTCCATGTAAAAAGGGTTGCCGTTGCCATCATCCAAAGCAACAAAATCCATCCCCTTTGCCAGTTTTCTAATATCAAGCACCGGAGTTTAAAACACACTCTTCGGAACATGTTTTTGGGCCTGACAGAACTTATGTTCTGACTCCTCCCAACACTTGCTGTGCTAAGTGGCCTGCTGTAGTTCATGTATGTATCTCTTTGTAGGAGTAGCGTTTCCAACTGCCACAACTGAAATGGACCGAAAAAAATGACACAATAAATCCTATTTTATTTGCAAATATGCGATATTATCCAATAATTTTTTGAGCTAAACATGTGAAATAATTTACCTCAATATACCCAAAATTCTCAGGATCCAGTTCTTCCATGATTAGTGAGGCATATTCTTCAGCTTGTTCTTTCAGCTTGGATAGCTTGTTGGCCGAAGCACTCAGCATTATAAGCTGTGTTTAAAAAAATATATAATCAAACAAATCATCAACAAACAATGATAATGACATTGAAATAATTGAGCCAAATTTTAATGCAATTGAAGTTTGAAGGACAGACAGCATTTCCATAAACCATATTTTCTTGGGAACTACCTCTCGTACTTCTTCCCTTGTGACTCTTCCATCTTCATTGCTGTCAGCCCTGCAATTTTTTTTTTTATCAAAGTCACTATAATCCCAAAATTAAAACTAAGCTAGACATTAATCAACAAGAATTAAATTAATAATAAATTAAACTAGCATATCAACTCCGTATCCACTTCCTTCGAAACATAAACCACGAAGTTAGTAACAACCTCGTCAAGTCATCAACTGGGCCTTAGGCCATCAACTTTTTACTTAGCAGCTAAAATCAGGTGCTTCGCGTAACTACTTATAATTACTGCTCTAACAAATTAAAATTCCCATCCAGATTTCCATTGATCAATTGCCGTTGCTTTTTGTAGAAGAACGTATTTTACTATTTTTCCAAGACAAAGTTGACGGTGTTAAAAAGAAACCAAGAGAGAGTCGTAAACTAACATGTCAAAGAAAATCTGAAGACGAGCGTCAAAACTCTGGTCTGAAATCTGTAACCAGAAATCATGAAGCTCGTCTTTTGTTATTTTCTCGATTCTCTGTCTTCTTCTTCTTGCTAACGCATCGAATATCCCAACTGCAAACTCTTTCGAATCCACCATCCCTGCGTCAAAGTAGAAAAAGGATTAAAAAAATCAAAATTTTCTGTTTATTTTTTCTTAGTTGTCAAACAGAGTATGAGCGTACTGACCTATGCATTCACCGAAGTCTTCTCTAGCAAGCAATCCGTCCTTTGCTAACGACTCGAATCTCGACTCAACTCGTTTCCACATCTCCTCAGCGTCATTTGCGCCAGTGTTTTTACTAATGAACCTCAGCCCTTTCAACGCTCGCTCAGCACTCGATTTCGTTCGTTGGAGCTTAGCCTTAATTCTCCTCTCATCACGCGCCGTAATCCTACGGTCCTGATCAATCCCCGCCGACGACGAAGCTCTCGACGATGACCCCGACCTTAACCACCCGAACTTCCTCCTAATCCTTGACGTCGCCGAAAGACTCCTACTTAAAATCCCGGAAGAAGCAGTTACGGAGGCTTCCTTTTCGTCGGTAATAATCGGCGGAGTACTCGGCGCCACGCTACAAAACACAATGGAGTCATTCTCGAGCTCGAGCGTGACTTCGACGAGGTCTCTCTGGTTATTCCTCCGTAAATCGCTGAGAAAAATCGGCAACATTGCGCCACCAACACCGTAGTCATCTCTAGGAAGATCTTCAAGGCCTTCCGGCAACTCAAATGAACGACTATAGTTTGAGAGGTTACTGCTCCTTCCAAACGAGTGAAACGACGCCGGCGACTTCATTAATCCGGTCCCTTTTTTCCTTTCCAAAACTTCAAACGTGTCTTGTTTTTTCTTCTGATGCAATGGGGAAGGAATGAAAAAAGACAAACACTTCCCAACCGATCATTTAACACGATTTCAACGCTTTTGAGATTAGTCGTGCTTAATTATTTCAGAGTAGTTGAGGTTTTGCTGAAAAATATTATTCCCCTACTAACAATAATTATATTCACATACAAACAAATAAGAGGCAGAAGGAGAATAATAAGAAGCGTTGCCGTTGGTCTTGTTTATATAAATTAATCAAAGGTAAAACAGAATGAAGAGGTTCTTACTTGATGAGATCAGTATGGAAGGTGAGAGCTTGGAATATATATATAGTATAGAGAAATATTTTGGGTTGGCGATTTATTTATTACGATAAGATTTATGATCGGCTGCTACCGTGTTTTTAGGAAGCGGCGGCCTGGTTTTATATTTTCTTTGTCGCCTTCTGGATATAATTGGTAATTTATATTTTAGTTTATGAACGCGTATTAATTCGGTCGGTAAAGAATTTGATTTTTTTTAAGTTTTTAATTTTAAATTTTATGAATGAAAAAAAATTATTTTTTTTTTTATAAAATTTGATTTGATTCGATTTTGAAATTATTAAAATTTAAAATGATTATGAACACCAAATAATTTCAAACAAAAAAAATTTTATATTTTAATTTTTTTATTTTGCATTAAATGCTTATAAAATATAAAAATTATTATTTATAATTTATGTTAATATATTAAATACAAAATTATTTTCGGTAAGCACATTTATAATTTTTATTAAAATTTTTAATTCGATTATTTTTTTTGTCTTCATATTAGATTTAAAATTAGTCTATTTTTAAATTTATTTGATTTATTTAAAGAAAAAAAAAGATTTATGAGGATTTCTCTTTGTTTTTTGGCTGAAAATAAAATTATTAAAAAAATACATACTTTGGGTGAATGGGAAGTCGGGGTTTAGAAAGTGACTATCTGGTGCTCGGTGAAAGAGAAAATCTGAAATTTTGAGTGCGAGTAAATATAAAAATATAAAAGCTGGAATATTTTAGCATGGTGAAAATCATATGAAATTTCTTCCTACTTGTTTTAGCTGTTCCTTGAAGGATCATGTGAACTTTAATTGGTTATGGTAAAAAAAAAATAAAAATTTCAAATGTCGGCTAACAATAAAAAGAATCAATATTTTTCTCAATTATTGGCTCAATTATTGGCTAAGTGTAACCATATATTTTTTATTTTATTTTGGGGGGGGGGGGGTCAGCATAAAAAATTGTAAAGTATAATTACAGCTGTTGACATAACAAGAACATTTAAGATTTAATAATAAAATTGATGTAGTTGTCATGTTCGTGTCCACCACTTTCTGCTATGTCACACCCCGTTTTCTGTGAAGCGACCATTTCTATACAGAAAAAGAAACTCTTTCCTCTTTCTCCATTGTTGAAGATTAAATTAAGCTTTTTTTTCTTTTTTTTTTTTCCTCTAAGTCCTTCTAGAAGCTAAGCAAGCATTTGAAAGTCTAGACCTTTCATCTATGATTGTGTACTTTCCAACTTCAATTGTCTTTCTTTTTTTTTTTTAAGAAAAAAAAAGTCTTGTTTCTTGAACTCCTTTTGCTGCACCCACAAACTTTGCCTTCTTTGCAGCATCGTTAATCTTTTTTGAATTAAAGGTTGTTGCATTTACAAGGGTTCAATTACCGTTCAGGGCTTTAAGAGGTGATTGTGTTTTTTTTTTTTATAAAAAATACTCATAATTTAAAATATATTCCCTTTGTTCTATTTTTTTTTTCATTTTCTTTTAATATCTCAAAATTATATTCTATTTTTTAAAAATATTTAAAATATTTATTTTTTTATATTTAAAAAATTTTTATATTAAAAATTACAAAACTTTAATTTTTTAAAAAAATAAAATTTAATATTAAATATATTAAGGTCAAAAAATTTTTCTTAAATTTCATAAAAATAGATACATGATAAATATTTTAAGATAGAAAATTAAAAAAAATAGACATTAAAATTTAAATTTATCGAATATAGTCTTTTAATAAAAAAATCCCTTTTATTATTTAAAAAATATTGAAAGTTTTCACTATTTTATCTAAAGATTAAAATAGGCATATTTATTTAAATCCATAATTGATATTTGTTTAAATTATTTTTTATTTTTAATTAATCTTTATTTATTTTTATACTCAATTTAAAATTATTAAATTTAAACTACAAATTTAAGTGAATATACATTATTAATCATTTGGATAATAATAGAAATTTTTATTATTTTTTAAGCAGTGGAAAGTATTTTCTTCCTAAAAAAAAAATGACTTTCTTGCATTTGCAGTCGAAGTTGAAAAACATAAACAAGTTCCATAGTAAACATGTGTTCTCTTTTACGTCAGAACGTCTTTCATAACATCCATAATTCCCGTATTCTAAAACTTGCAAAAGAATAAAAATTTTGAATTACGAAGTTAAGTGAAAACGAAATTAGATGTTGCCCACGTCCCCTCTGTATGGCTGACAAATATATATATATATATATATATATTTATATTAATGAAAAGTCCAAAAGCTTGATATGTAGGTTAAGGCGCAATGTTGTATTAATAGGTTCATACAGTTTTGCTTTATCATATGGTGGTTGAGAAGTAAGACTCACGCGTTTCAATTCAGCCTCCTCCAACCCTACGAAAATCTTTTAAATTGAATCAAAATATCAAATAATACTCCTATGTCTCTTTATATTTATATATATATATATATATATATATTTAACTCAATTTTCATAATTGTTTTTAATGAAACTAAAAATTTTAAAGAAAGTAAGATTTACAAATTTTGAATTTCACAATTTTCAAAATATATATTTTTTAAATTTAATTATTCTGATATTTTAAAAACTAATGATCAATGTTGAGTTCATTTCACACACACACACAAAATAATAATAATAAAATCAAACATGAAAAAATAAAATGGAAAGAGATATTATTATTTGAGAAAAAAAAAAAAAAAACCTCTATTTTGGGTCGTGATAGACCATGTATTATGAATTTTAATATGTTGATATTTGATAGTTAATTATGTAAATACATTAGCATACGTTGTGATAATTAATGATACGTTATGACAATTATTGTAATATGATTAATCAGTAATAATTCAGAATTATGTGGAATTTATAAAAAAAAAAATTATATAAAATTCATACTTATAAGTGATAAACTATTACATAATTTTTTATTGTGATTAGATAGTTATAATATTATAATAAAAAAAGTACAAGTGATAATGTTCCCATGTATTTGTGCATCATAGATGTTACTACATACATACAGTAGTCATTGTTATAATTTAAGTACTTATTATCTTGTTCCTATTTAAACCGAAAATTACAGCCAATGTCAAAATAAAGCAAAAAAGTTTTATATTGTCATTGTAACATTCCCTTTTTCTGTTATTAATTTATATTCACATAAATTAGCAGAAAAGGTTGTAAGTTATGTGACTAAATCCCAGTAGCTAATTTATTGCTTTAATCAAAATAATAAGTATCTTTTTCATAAGTGCAATGAATGCTGTATATATTTAACATTAGTCATGTTATTTGTCTCGTTAATTTTATCCCAAATACTTGTATTTTTTATATATAATTATTAGATAAATTTAAAGGTTAGATTCACCAATTTATGGATAAATTAAATAATTCATAAATATGTTATTACATTCAAATCAATATTTATATATTATGAATCTGAAATTTAATCTAAATTATTCATACAATCACATTTAAAAAATGACATTTAATAATTTTAAAATTTAAATTTTAACACAAATAATTTTTTTCTTTTATTTTCATGCTACATCTTTTATAAAATAATAATTATATATCATGTCAATAAGCATAATTCTTTATTATATTTTCTAGTGATTGGGTTGAACATTTGACATTTCTGTATTGTCAATAAAAAAAAATGCTTAGTAAATTAATTAGAATTTAATATTCTCTTTTTCTCCTGTATTTTGTGATTCTAGGTTTCTATTTACCAACTTGTATTCCCCCTGTAATTTTCCTTTAAAAAAAAATTTCGGGGCTCTAAAGCGTTATTTGAATGCCACAGTCGAAGGGTACTTCATCGTTTTATGTGTAGAGAAAAAGCGTAGCAAGTTTCATATTGAAAGGTGAAACTCAACCAACTCTCTTTGACTTTGAACCCTTTTCTGTTAAAAAAAAACAATTTGAGTAGCTGGCAAATAATAATAATAATAGTAGGTACTGAATGAGCTGGAACATTGTCTTCTCTTTTCTATTTTTAGTGGCCTTGATAGGCTTGTAATTTTTCCTTTCAATTTCATTTCGTTTATGCTATCACAATTTCAATCTACGGAAACAAAATGACAAACTAGCAAAAAATAAAGATTTCAATCCTTTCAATCCTTTGTCACGTGTTTATTTATAAAAATAAATATTTATATTTTTTTCATGAATAATATATACATTTATGGTTTGTTTTATATAAGCAAATGATTTATTAATACAAATGAACAATTTTTTTAATACTAGGGATGGAGATTCAAACACAAATTTTCGAGTATAACAACATGTTTCTACCATTGAATTAAAATTTTTTATTATAAAAACATGTTTCGATCATTAAATTAAATGTTCGGATGTTCTTAAGGAGGAATATAATCGAGTGACAACAACAAAATCTAAATGATGGGAGCCTCCTCCATTCACTTGTACTACCAAATACAAAGAAATAATGCCATCGTGAAGCATAAGGGTTTTAGGTAACGCTACAGAATTTTACCATCACTCGTTTGTGCTGTCTCGTACCAACTGGTACTAATTTAAAAAAAAAAAAAAAAAGTTTAAGATTTTTTAAGAGGCAATTAGCCATTTAGGTGGAACCTATCAATCAACTAGAAAATCAAAGGGGAATATGTCAATCACCTTGGAGTCCAATTGTGATATAGATAGTGATGCATCAAGGGTGGCCGACAGAGGATCCAAGTCTCACACGACAGGAACACAAAATCAGCCCAACATTTACTATAAAACATGCCACACTCTACTCAACAAATTCTTCACTATGAGGTAAAAATTGCCTGAGGGCTGCATGCATTGACTGTTCAGTGCTTCATTTGTTTCTATATTTCAATCTCCAACTTGCCAGAGAATTAAGCAATATAGAATTAGCTAGCATTTATCTGGTACCACAGACTCACAACTTCTACCAACCACAACATCAGTTTAAGGCAAGAAACTATAGATACATATTGAACCATGATCTTTTAGTTCATCATCAATTCATGATGGTTATGGTTTTGAGAACTAATCCACACTTAAATTATGATCCACCAGCCCCACCACATAGTTATAGTTAAGCACAGTGTAAATAACCTGCCAACTGGCATTAATCTTGAGTTTCCAGGTCTGTATTCAAAAAGATACAGAACCAAGTATGGTCATAGGAGCATTGATATCATTTGATCTATAGAATCAATGTCACAGGGATTATTTGGAATTTAATAAGCAATAATTAATACAAAAATAATCACTTGAGGATTATAGATGCTCGTAGATCCAAGACAATATAGAAGCTACAAAACTGGATGACCGAATCCTTTATGCTCATTTAAACAGAATTAGGTGTTTGTGCATGTCTAGTGTGGTTTTGCAACATACCCATCAACAGCAAAGTTTCGTGTGGCAGCAGGGATTGCTAAACGAATTCCATCAAGTTCAGGACTTGCAATTATTTGGCACCCCAGACGAGACCTGAAAAGTTCAAGAACATGGCAATCCATTTAGATTAAATTTCACACCAAAAAAAAAATCTCTAGCAGATGTATAATGAAGGAACTCACGTTTCTGTAAGCCCAAAGGCCAAGTCCAACATGTCATTTTCCTCATCAGTTGGATCTTCTAAGTTATTATAGTACTCCATGTCCTAGCAAAAGAGTCAACCGTTAGTCCCTAATAAATAGGTTGAAAAATATTACAAATTATCATAAACCAATCAACAACACGTTTGATAACATATAATGCCATTAGCATACCATCACTATGACATGGCATGTTGAACAAGCAAGTGAACCCTCACATGCTCCTGAAACAACAGGACAAGCAAACATTGTTAGAAATGAATCATAAATTAATTGATTCAAGTAATTAAACCATCTGTGTGTGTGTGTCCAAAACATGTTAACTTAATTTGTATCACAAAAAAAAGGAGGTTTTCGAATCACATTATGTTCTACTTCAATTGCTAATGCATTCTTAATGCAAAAGAACATGTTTAAGATAGATATATCACTATAAAGGACTTGAGTAAACGAATTACTCCAAGAAGATAAAAGTTCGACCTAAGGAATGCTACAAAATAATTATAGCAACAATGAATCAGGATCCTTGCCTTCAAGCTCTATATCATTTTCATGAGCTGCTTCCAGCATAGACATTCCAATAGGTACCTGAATGGGGATTTCTTCTCCATCCTTTGTAACAAATGTGACAGATATCCTGCCAAATAAGACAATCTAATGTGAATAAAAATTAAAAAAAAATAAAAATTAACGCATATATAGCCATTAAGCATTTAAAGAACAATGTTGGGAACTCAAACGCTATGCTTTCAAAATCATTGAATGCCATAAATTGCAAATCTGAATCTCCCACAAACTAAGTGCAAGAACCACATCGTGCAGAGATGTAATGTAGATCAGAAATGCAAACCAACAAAATCCACACCTAATTAAAGATACATGCCTATACAGACACAAGTCCTCCGATCAATAGGTGCTGGTGCTGAGGATGCTACTCTACCCACATCTCAGCTGAGGCATTAATTGACCACCAAGATTCTATTTTGCTTTGAAGCATGCCAAAACATGTCAAAACAATATTGAGTCTTGACAAAAAAAAAAAAAGTTTTTCCCAGGTAGTATCAGTGTAGAATAACTTAAACTGATGTTGTATTTACAGCAGCATCTCTCCAAGAACATGTAAATCAAAATTAGATTTTTGTATTTCTTCTTCATTTCTTTGTCTGCATATTTCTTTTAAACAAAGAAAAAAAAGAAAAGAGTTGAGAATTTACTTGATCTAAATAATTCACCAATACTAGAAAATTAGAACTAAAAAAGGATAAACAACTTCATCCAACAGTCATAAACAGCATGCCACTATAATATTCAAAGAACTTACATTTCTCTCTGTCCATTCCCTCCCTCAGAAGCATTGTTGGAAGCTGAGGATGAAAAATCATGATGTTTTTGAAATATGATCCCTTGAAAGCCTCTAGTTTCTGGCAGTAATTCCAGCTGTCCAAAAAATTGAAGAAAGCGAAAAAGATAGTGCAAAAAGTTTACTTATAATTAGCTGAAAATGATATCTTTTTTCCTGGATAAATAACTAAAGGCCAAAATACTAAAAAAGCCCTTGAATTATTCTACTTTTTTTAAAAATTAAATCATTATACTTTTATAGTACTCATATAAACCCTTTTACTTTAAATTGTATCCAAATAAGCCTGTATTTCAAATGAAAGATTGATTTATGTTAAGAGTTTCTTTAGGTACAAAGTAAAAGTTAATGGCTTATTTGAATACAAATTAAAAGGCCAAGAGCTTATTTGGATGCAAATTGAAGGTTAAGGGCTTATTTGGGAACAACAAAAGTATAGTCTTATCTAAGTGAAAAAGTTCAAGGGCCTTCTTGTTATTTTAGCCATAACTAAAAATGTAATCCTTTTTTTCCAATTTTGTCTACTGTAATACCAGCTATATGTATTAAGGATTTAAATTACGGTCGCGGACACGTTTTTTGTTGCGTTACGTTTATCGCAATTTTGAATATAACATAAATCATTACGGTCATCAAGTTTGTAAATTTTTTTTAATTTTGCACAATTTACTATAAAATATAGTAATTATAATTATAATAATACAAACTAGTACTTTATGATTTTTAAAGTAATTTAAAACTTTTAATTTTTTTATTTATAAATTAAAATATTTTTTTTCACATTTAGTAGTTATAATTCAGAATTAAATTGCATATTATAAATGCTTTTCATTATTATACCCATTAAGTTCATGGACATAAATGTTATAAATACATATGATGGGAAAAAAAATCTTATATGAAGTTAATTAAGATTATAATTAATTTAATTAGAAAACTAGTGATGAACATTTTAGATATTTTTATAATATACATTTATTGGGGGAAGATGATTAAAACTAACTCTTTGACCATGGATACATATACTTGACTATTAGATCAAATTTTCAAGTGCAACATATTAAATAACTAATTAAACCAAAATAATATAATAGTGGCAAACTAATCTTTATTAACTAATAAAAATATACAATTAACAATATCATTAATAATATTGAAATACTGTGATTTTAAGTTTAAAAAAAAGAAAAAAAATATTGTGATTGGTTGGGCTGAACCCAAAACCACCAAACCTTTCCCACATCCCTAAATTCTTCAAAATTCATGATTAAACCTCTCTGTTTCTTCCTCTCTCTCTCTAACTATCTCTTTCTCTAAAAATCCACAGCATCTCCCATGCTTCCTCTGTCTCCTAACCTCTTCCAATTTCCAGCCACGCTATCTCTACCTTCTTCATCAACCCAAGCCACCAGAGTAACCCAAGCCCCTCATCTTCCCATGTTGGCAGTTAAAGGGTGTTTTGCTTCTTCTCAACTTTCAAGGTCTAAGGTGGTCATTGATTAACTTCAAAAACATGTTATTTGATCTTGATTGAGGTTTATATTTGCTGATTGAGTTGTTGGCTTAAGGGTTTTTGTTGTTTCGAATGTATTTTCTTCATATGAAATTCTGTGACTGCTGAAAAAAGGAATGCGGTTTCAAATTACATTTTGGGTTGAAAACGGTGATTGTGGCTGTAGCATCCCGCTATGGCCACTATTGTCCACTATACCGTTATTTTGCGGCCGTGAGCCGCCGTTATGAGCATGAATTTCGTTCACAACCCAATTTCAGGTATGTAGCGGCGGCAGAGGCTACCAAAACCGCAAAATAGCGGCCGCAATGCCGCTACAGAACTGCTATTTGAAACCCTGAAACGCATATCATTCTTCAATGTTTGTACCAATACCGACCATTGATGTGTCACACTTCAATGTTTCTAAAAGTTATTTTCTAATTATTCTGGCAACTATTGTCACCTCCATATCTCATCAAATGTATGTCTGCATGTTTATGATATTTTCTCACATAACTGTGATCAAGGTTATAGTATTAGTTTCTATCCTTTTGAAAATCACAAAATTGTCAGTATAACTAACATTGATCAAATTATTCCATCCCCTTAGTAAACAAAATTACTGCCACACTATTTTCTTTCAGTAGATATGATAAGAGACCGTTCTTTTCATATGAAAACTAATCTAAAATCGCTATAATTCAATTACCTAAACAACACATATATCTTCAGGACTGTCTACAGCAGAATCAGCTTAATAAAAAAAAGGAGGCAAGGATAAATCCTGTAATTAGCTCATTGACTAGTCTAGACGTTTCATCTCCTAAAGGCATAAGATTTATCCACTATTATGTGACATAACTAACTGCAATCTGCAGATAAAGAAGCTTATCTCATTCCTTTTCACAACTAAAACTTCCAATTATCAATAAACTTCTATCTTTTCCAATTTCACTAAATTAAACTCCACCATTCAAGATTCCTAATAGTGTCACAAATACATAAGCACTAGATTAACTTAGAACATTGTCAACAACAAACAAATCTGAGGGTTAACCATCCACCATGTCTTAGGCTGCTTTCTTTCAGTGACTCGAAAGGTATAGATAATGCAAGTAAAACTATATTTTTCCTTTTTTGAAACATACGAAAATAACCATTACTGACCAGAGAGCGCTGGTACTGCCCACAAGCCTTTTGTATGTATCTTGTTCTAGACATATATGTATATCCGCCTGTCAAAAAGAATGCAATTTGAAGTCAAGTTAGTAAATGAAAAAACATTTCATACAACTCATGCATTATTAAGAACCTGTAAAAATACCATTATTATCAATACAAATTGTCTGCTTAGAAACTACAAGGGTGCCTTATTTTTATTAAAAACAAGCTCCAAATATTAATAATGCCAATTTCTATAGAAACAAAGCATAAGAAATAAACCCAGAAGCATACCTCTTGATAGCTCTTTGGCAATCCGAAATCCAACTCTAGAAAGCCTAGAATTTAGCATTATTCGATGTAGTAAAGCAGCACCTGTTTAAAGGAGAAAACAAAATAAGCTTTAGAACTTAAAAACTTCAAGCCTTTAACAAAGATACCAAATCCCAAATGGACTTGCTTTTAAAGCGGATTAATTTGAGACAGTTCAACTGGGTTTTGAGCTAAGCATCTGCTTATGGATATGGACAAGCACTTAAATCTCCCGAAAGCCGAAATATCGACAACACAAAACGTGCAAGTGAAGAACTTTAGAAAAAATAATATACCTGAAGAACGGAAAGGATTTGAACCAGGTCGGGTCCAATCAGTTCTGTTGGATTCTACGACGAGAGCTCCGACTTGGTTTGAAGGCTTTTGAAGACAAAGGGTGGCCGCCGGCTAGGGCAGTTGGCTGAGGTTAGATGAACAAGCGTCTTTTGAATAATATGAGCCGCAGAGAGAGATGGAGGCGAGGAGAGAGAGTTCCAGATCAAACGCGCTTGAGACTTGAGTGATAAAACTTAAAACGGCGCCGTTGAGAAGAATTTTGACATTGGAAAAAAAAAAAGAACCAATAAGCAAAGTGGAGATGCGGGGGATCGAACCCCGTGCCTCTCGCATGCAAAGCGAGCGCTCTACCATTTGAGCTACATCCCCTCGATGATAAATCTTTCAATTAAAATTATTTCAAATTCTAAATCATCAAGGTGCCCGCTGGACCATGACTCCCCGGCCAACTTCTATCGCAATTTACCATTCTTTTGTATAGAAAGTGGATGGAATGGTACAAAATATCTCGTATTGAAATTTATGTTCGGATAAAACAGTAGTAAAAGGAAATAAAGGTAGGTTTTTTTTTAAGAAAAGACAATGATACACATATGATATATCTTTATTTGTTTAGTTACAATTAGTAAAGGAAATAAAAAAAAAATTATAATAACCATTATTTGATTAAACAGGTAAAAGAAAATGAAAAGATTAATTATAATATTCTTTTTCAATTATAAACTTCTTTCTATAAAATAAAATATAATATAAAACTAATATTTTTGTAAAGTATCAAATAAAAATGTAAAATAATGTACAGTATTTTTTTAATTGTAAAAAATTAAATATTTTCTAAAACCTTGTCGTAATAGTTTTGGAGCCACTCGACGAATTTGAAGATAAAATTAAAAAAAAAATCGAGTTGCTATCAATCTTTTTTTGCTATATACGATTGATCATCTATTAAAATTTATTTTTTTAATAAAATTTTAAAATTAATTAGAATTTATTAAAAATATAATTTTAGGGTTTGCCAGTTTAGATTTGAGAATCGATTACGGGTGAAGAATGATTAGTACCCTCACAACATTTATTTGAAATGATATCTATTAACTATGTTTTATCCATTGATTTTGATAAAAACAATCTTATTTTTTGTGTTTGAAAAAGAATTTCTTTGATTTTTTCATTTATTGGAATTTGGTTTTTCTTTTTTGAATTAAAAATTTGTTATTCAATTTTTATTTGAGAAAAATAAATTAGAACATTTTTATTGAAATAATTCTTAAAATGTTCCAATACGTTGGTAATATTGAAAGAACTATTTCTCACATAGAGTTTTCTTAAGCATCGCTTCTTTGAATATTTTAAAATCTCATCATCGGAGGCTCAAATTTATTTTTCGTAAAAAATTATGTCGTGTTTTCAATGCAAATACTAACATGTTGATGCACATATTTTATTTTACTTTTTAAAAATTTTATTGATTTTTTTTTATTTTTTATTATTTAAGTTTTCAAAGAAAAGATGAATTTTCATTATATTGTAGATTTTCTATAAATATTTCAATACATTGATAATATTTAAAAAAAATCCTCTCACCTAGAGATTTCTTAAAACATCTCTACTCAAAATACTTTTAAAATTTTGTCATCGAATAAAATTTTCTTTCTTCTCATTTTTTATTTTTATATTATTTTTAACAAATTAGTTAATTTTATTTTTTATTAATTTATAGTAAGAAAAAGGAAATTTTTATTATATTAAGAATTTTTTATAAATACTCCAATACGTTGGTAGTATTTAAAAAAAAATTTTCACCTAGAGATTTCGTAGGTATCACTATTCGGAGTACCTATGAATATCATCATCGAATAAAAAATTTTTTTCTTATATTTTTTATTTTATAAGGTTTATTTTAAAACTAACAAAATTATCAAAAATTTTAACTATATATATATATATTTTTTATTTGTATTTATTTATTAATTATTTATTACAATAAAAAATTATCTTAGCAAACTTAAACATTTTAACATGCATAAATATTAATAATAAAATTTAAAATAATAAAAATAATTTAAAAAAATTTTAAAAATTACTTGAACTGGATCGGTCAACAGTTTGATCAACGTCATCCAAGTGGTTCGACGGTCTAGTTAGGTTTAATGTAGGTTTGGTCCAGTTTAGGCTGATTCAACTGGATCGGTCAGAGGTCAAAGGAAAAAAGGAAAAGCGGGTAGTCGGGTTAGGTGCATGGACCCCTATTTAACTGGACCTATAAGGCTACCACACAGTCTTCTAAAGGTCAAATTGACATCATTTTGGTCATTTAATGAAATAACGTCATTTTAGTTTTCAACTTTCTATAAAACCCAAAAAAAAATTTTCTCTCATTTTTCTTTTCTCTCTATTTCTCTCTCTTTACACTCCCTCACTCTATCAAGCTCTCTTTTTTTTAAAACGATCAGCCAGTGGCTGTCTATCACAATGGCCGTTAATTGTCGGTCGTCGACGTTGTCACTGATTGTTGAAAAATCCTAAAAAAAATCCAAAATTTTTTTTCAACCCCCTGAATACAGATCTAGGCCTAGTTTCACCTGAATCTCATCAAAATGACCTAGATTGAACCTTAAGTGTTCAATCAAACCTCTTTTTTTTTTTTAATTCTAACTTACATTTTTTCTCTTTTTTTTGTTTTGTGAGGCTGATTTTTCTTTTCTCTTTTTTTGTCATGAGTTTCTCGATACTGGGTTCCTCCCCTAAAAGAAAATATTGTGATTTTTGGAATGATGATTTTTTTTATTTTTGGTGTTAATTTTGTTTCAGACTAATTTTTTTAGTATTTTTATGGTTTTTTTTGTGTTAGAAAGAGGATATATGGAGGCTGTGACTGGGAAGGCCACAGATGAAGTCTGTGGGGCGTGAGTGAGTAATATGCTGAGGGGCTTTGGATGCAGGCGTCAAGATTGGTCTTCTAAGCTGTTATGGATGGGTGCTTTATAGGGCCAACTACCTAACGAGAGTGGGTGGTACAATGGTTTGCAGAAGGTGCAGAGGTGATAATGAGGTTACAGTAGAGTGGTTCTACAAGGGAATAGGTGGCCAGAGCTTTGGTGAACAAGGGTGGTAGTGGTGCTGTACACGGCACCCATTAGCATCAGCCCCATTATTTTTTTACTTTTTTTTATTTTTTATATTTTTTTATTTATTTGTATTATTATTGTATTTAATAATATTATTATCTTACTCATATTCTATTTTAATACTAAATTAAAAAATTAAAAAAAAATAAAAATAGCAAACCCAAGCTCGATTTTAGAACCGAGGCCCAACTCAAAAGCCTGGACAAATTTGGTGTCTACAACTGTCCTTCTTTGCGTATTGCTGAGAATCAAGAATAGTACAAAGACAAAAATATCAAATTTGTTCGAGTGAAAAATTTTTTTTAGATGACTTCAGATATCACCACCAAAGAAAACTCAAATATTACTATTGAGAAAATGCAATTCAAATTTTAACACTCGAATATCACCATCGAGAAAATACAAATTACTTCGGATTTCGCCACCAAAGGAAAACTAGAATATCACCATCGAAAAAAAAAATACAATTCAAGCTTTAACACTTGGATATCACCATTGAGAATATGCAAATGACTTCAGATATCGTTATCGAAGGAAACTCGAATATCACCATTGAGAAAATACAATTCAAGTTTTAACACTCAAATATCACCACTGAGAAGATACAAATGACTTCGGATATCACCACTGAAGAAAACTTGAACATCACCATAAAAAAAATATAATTCAAGCTTTAACACTCGAATATCACTACTGAAAAAGATGTAAATGACTTCGGATATCGTCATCAAAGGAAACTCAAATATCACCTTCGAGAAAATACAATTCAAGCTTTAACACTTGGATATCACTACTGAGAAGATGAAAATGACTTCGGATATCGTCACTAAAGAAAATGCAAATGATTTTTAACACTCGGATATTACCACCGAGAAAATACAAATAATTTCAGATATCACTATCGAAGAAAACTCGAATATCACCATCGAGAAAATGTAATTCAAGTTTTAATACTCGGATATCACCATTGAAAAGATATAAATAATTTTTTAACACTTGGATATCACTATCGAATGATTTTAAAAAATGTCTTGGATATCACCACCAAAAAAATGCAATTCATACTTTAATACTCGGATATCACCATCGAAAACTTTGAAAATAATTTATCATAATAATTTTCTTTACTGATACCAATTTCACTAGGTTAACAACTTTCCTGCCAGCTAGATTGGGTCTAAGGCTTTCATCTTATGCCATCTCGTTGAAAGTCTTAAAAATTCTTGATCTTTTGAACATGTTTTTGCCCATTTTTTTTTTGTTTCCAAAATTGGTGAACACCACTATGATATAAATATCTTCTCTTAAAATGATGATGCAACTAAAATGTAAATGTCTTTTCTTAAAATGATGTTCATGAGATGCAAATATTTTTTTTTAAATGATACATATGAAATATAAATGTTTTTTCTTAAAATTATGCATAAAAAATACAAATATCTTTTCCAAAAATACCAATACATACATTCTTATCAATGATAGACAATCTAATAATGCAAATGTAAAGTCAAAAGATTCAAAATGTTCAAAAAAATTTTTTTAATTTTTCAAATTTTTTTTCTTTCAATCCCAAGTTTTTCATCTCAATTTCAAATCCTTTCTTTGCTACTCATTTTTCATCAATTTTGCTTTCTTTTTTCACAATTTGGATTTCTCGACTTTTCTTTCTATTTTTTCATCTTCAAATCAAACATACATATGATCAACTCAAACTTGATGAAAAGGAATTGAAGAAAATAAGCCATCAAACTATGGTGAAACTCAACTGATTAAACATACCTTTGTATTAAAAAGTGTTTCCCATAGTGCCACTTATTTTTTTCAAAGTTTTTTTTCTTTCAAAAATTTATTTTAAAAAATTATATTTTAATGACAAAATCCTAAAAAAAGAAAGCATTAGTCAACCTTTATGAAACAATGTGACTCTTAAGTCTCTAAAAAAATGGTAATCATTATTATACATATATCCGAATAGAATGCAAT